CAAATATGTTCGTTAAAAATGTTAAGCATTTCACATAGTTAAAAAGTATTGATAACCACACCCATTTTTTTTTTTTTGTTTTAAATATCTATACATTTTTAGTTGGAAAATTTTAATCGTTTCTGGCGGTTTCTTGTCGAATGTGCGTCACTTCCTGCACTGTTTTTTTCTTCTCTTTTGCTGATCCGTTACATGTATAGTAAGACGGGTATGCGGTTGAAGGTGGGGCGTATGCATATAAGTACGTAAAAAAAATCTATTCAAATTACATACAAAAAAAAATTTCAGACATTTTGCCAAAAATGAATGCTTTGGATTATGAGCAAAGAAATTATCAATTATTTCCGCTAGCCTCCAACAAACTCTACGATAACAGCCCTGTATGTATGTGTAAGTATACATACACGTATACTCGTATATATAAACAATGTTTTATCAAAAAAGAACTTTGGAAATGCGACATTCTCATTATGAGCCATTGAATTGGAATTTAAAACAAAAACATTGCATCGAGTGAATAACAAAAAAAAAAAATAATAATGAAGCCGGCATAACCACATTAAATTCACATACAACCAAACACACGTTTCGTTCACTTGTATGCATGTCCATATATGTACATATGTATATACGTGTATTTGTGTGCTGATTGTACTGCACATTCTCGAGTTTACTTACATTCTTAGCAGCGTTTATTGCATTTGGGAAGTGTTAATTTAAACTGGTGATCGTTTGGTGGTCACTGACTAAAAAAAAAAATGCTACAACAAAATAAAGTTCAATACCCCGACCATATCGCATGCCAAGGGAGTTGAACATGATTACTTCGCAATCTTACTTATATTAAATTTTAGTAAATATTATATATATTGGATGAGTGCATAAGTTCGTGCCCGATTCCGCCGGATNGAAATCGGGCACGAACTTATGCACTCATCCAATACATTCAGTAAGAATGTGAAGACGACGTGCGATCAGAAAGAAAATAACCGGTATTTTAAATTTTTTTCAAAAAGGATTTATTTATCAATAACTATCTTTTCCCCTTCAAGGTAATCCCCCCTCAGATATAATACACTTACGCCAGCTTTTTTTCCTATCCTCGAAACACTTCTGAAACGTGTTCTTTGTATCGCCAATAGCTTCTGTTTCGGTTTTTATTTTATGTCCTCAAGCGCAGCAAAACGCTTTCCTTTCAGTCGTGTCTTCAGTTTTGCGAAGAGGAATACGGTGCATACTGTGGTTTAGGCATGATAACGATTTTGTTTTTGGCCAGAAACTCGCGCACAAACATCGTTGTATGAGCTGGTGCGTTATCATGGTTCAAAATCTTCGCTGTCGCACGTTCCATGCCTGAAACATCCGTAAAAATGGCTAGACATGAGTCGAACCATACGCCAACATCATCAGCAACCTCTCTGATAGTGAATCGACGATTATCCAAAATCATTTTCTTCACTGTTTCGATGTCCTTATCAAAATTAAAGTTGAAATCACCATCATACAAGAGTCCCGATGTAGGGGACAAGGATGAAAGCGAGTAAGTCCTTGTAATATATTTATATGTGCTACAACGGCCTTATAAATCAGCGAAAATATTGTTTCGGATTCGCAGTGTGGCAGAGATTCAGTCGTTGACTGCTGTGTATGAACATCTAGTCACCATCTGCATCGAAGCGAAGTACTTCAACATATCGTTGATTTGCGCTCACACTTTGAAGGAAGTGAACCATAGATGATATTTATGAGCATATGGTACATGTACATACTTAGAGCTCTGCCCCTCCAGAAATGCCGAAATTGTGCAAGTTTTTGATGCGGTACCAACCAGTGGAGACAACAAAAAAAAAACAAAATGAGAAGGATATAAGAACATTTAGAAATTGTAGTCGGGTTTTGAGGATTTGAGTACGTATATCAACGTTGGTTAGTGGGTTCTCTCTTTCTGGCATGGGATTAACCCTTCGAAGCTCAATTTTTCAGTATAAAAAACGTAATTTTTTGTGTGAAAATAGGAACTAGTAGCAACCATACTTTTCCGTGCTGATACCTGCTTCCTTACAATAATGAATTTCTATTAAAACGTCAGCGAGTGTCTAAGTGAGTGCTCCAGATGCTACTATTTGATTAATGTCACAGTTTTCGTATATATTTAATTTGTTATTTATGACTTCTGCTGATAAATAAGTAAAAGAAAGGAAGAAGAATATACAATATTATGAACACATATATATGTATGTATGTTTATATGACATTATAGAAACCCAATACACACAACTCGGTCTATTTGTATCAAAATGTAGTAATTACAAATTAGTCCTTTTTAATGCTGTAACGGACCAATCTTGGCTCGCTAGTTTGCTTGTGTTTTACGTGATCGGTTTCAAAGAGATTAAAATAAATTTTTAGTTTTTTGTTTGGTTTGATTTTGGTTTGTCTTTAATGGCTTGCTCTCGGCTAGGACCTAGGAGTGATTTGCTTGATTCCGTTTCGATAATTTTGATCTCAACCTCATTCTGGTCGGCCAGTCACTCAAAAAGACGATGAATTTCTGCAACCGGTGGAACAAGACCGACACCAAGCTGTAAGGAGCTGGCGGTGAGCTGCAACCTGCCGAAACGATCAATTCTGTGCTGTACTCTCAACAATTAACCTCCTTACAACAAGCTCTTCATAAGGCATGTCTAGATATGATTATTTCATCATGAAAACAGCAGACCAATGCATCTATGACGACCAGGAAAAAATTTTGGGAACTAAGTTGGAAAGTTTTGATGCACCCAGCATGAAAAGCCATATGTTTTGATTATAATTAATTTTCAATCCAAAAAATTCCACCTTGACATTCCAAATTATTGAAAACCACTTTCCAATTACGGTCGCTCATTGGTAGTGAATGTCAAGTCCTCCGTGCGTGTTTTTGGCATGAAATTTAAAAAGCTGCTGATAATAATTCCTCGGCCGTTCGTAGGCGGCTTAAAATAAATTGTAGAGCCCCCCATTTCTAGGATAAACTTCAAGACGCATTCCACAAATTAGACGAGGAGCTTGGACGGAAATCGTTCCAATGTTTACAAAGTGCCAATTCACGAGTTATGCTTAATATTAGAGTACTCTTCAACCCATGTGGAGTACATTAGGCATGTCTACATGATGTACTCGTAAATTTTGTATGCTGTTTCCGTGCCCCTTTTACTTGTAAACACAATGGGCGAGCCACTTACTTGCACCCGTAAATATATATATATACATTTGTGTGTATATAAATTAAATATGAACAAATTTAGTTTTCCGCTTTTTTTTATACTTTTTCTGTTTATTTATTCTGAGTGCACAAATAAATGGGTTATTAAGTTTAATAACTGCGACGACCTTGTGTCGCTTTTGAATCGGTTGCAGGCCTGTCGGGTCGCCCGTTTGACTGCCGTCAGTTGGTTGCAATTGTTTATTTAAAATATGGTATGCAAAAGTAAATGAAATTGCAATGGAATGCGAATGAAATTCAGTTAATTTGTATAGGCAAGCAGGGGGAGTAGAATCATACTGAGAAGATGCGATAAATGAAAATGTTTGATGTATAAAATCTCGAACTTTTTCGTGTGTGCCAAAGTAAGCAATGCTCCTTACATAAATAATTTTTAATTAATTGAAATTGATTATATTTTAAGAGAGCGTTTTTACATACGAAAAGACGTTTCGAGCCCGGGGGCGAGAACTTATTCGAAAAGTTGAAAAAATTGCCCAATAGTTGACTATAGTACTAAAGACGAACTAACTCGCAGAAATGGTTGGTGTAACCGATTCAATCATTTCTAAAAGCCTGTAAGATTATCTTGGCATGACTGAATTTAACGTAAGGTGGGTTCGAGTATGCTCATGCCTCTCTGCGTGCTAAAATTTAACTCCTAAAAATATACAACTTTTTATAGCTGTTAACGAAAGTCTGTTCATATGTAGGGAAGTGTTGCTCTCTATTAGGCGCTCCTTAGTATAATCGATGTATTGTAGTATACGCCACAATGACTTATACTCTTTCGGACTTGACCCGTTTGTTGTTAAGAAGATCTAGTCCGTTTCGACGAGATCATCTAATGGAAGGTCTGAACGGGCTCGGAAACAAGAGAAAGCTGGATTAGTTGAGTTGGTTTTAGTGATGGGTAGTGTATGCACGCCATACGTTGGGTATATCGAAACCAAGTCTGGATAGGTAGGAATTACATAAGTCTATTACAATATCCAAACCTTAACTGCACCAGTATTACTCGGGTCCCACGTGGCAGCTCAGTCTATAGGCATGCAATAGGTGGTAGTTGGATTCCGAGAACGCTATGTCGTCCTGTCCAACGGTTCGGTTCTAGAATGCTGAATGGAGTCTTCGAGGTTGAATACTTCGCTGCTGATGTGCCTACTTGGTGGTTCAGCTTCCAGTACATGTTTTTCAGAATGGTCCCGACGGTAGCATCCCAGCATATACGATGTATAGCTTATACATCATAACACTATGCACCTTAAGTGACATCGGGAGGTTTTCTGTCACAGCTCTCAGGGCGGTGTTTTGGCAATCTTGTAAAATCGTCATTTACGTCTCGCTATATTGAAGAGAGTAGCCGAGGATTTCGAGTCTTTTCACGGCGGTGATGTCAACTTTAATTTTGGCAAGGGCAGCGGCACCGTCCCAATTAATAGGACGATCATTTGAGGTGCCAGTATCCTTATTCGCATCCCATGGTCGTCATCAGAACTTGAATCCCAAGTCCAAGTAAATTTGAAACAAATGCTGCAATAAGACTCCAGTGAACGCTTAAACTTTAACCTCCACTTACTGTTTGCTCCATCGCATTTCTGTTAAGTATTCTTAAAATCATCCTTGGGTGGCAAAATTTTTTGTCCCGTCCAATGTTATTCATTAGATTTTTAAGAGCTTTTTTTTTTTAAATGAATTCAAAATATCTTCATTTTATATCATTTACAAATACAATTTTCCTTTCATATATTTTCAGCGCCTCGAATTCGATCGCGAAGGTCTGACAAAATTAAAAAAGGCCGTAAAGGCGATACACAATTCCGGAAACAGTAAGTATCCACAGATGGCATCTTATAGCCGCCACTCTATTCAAAATATACATTAATATATATTCAATCCCTGCCCGCTACAGCCCATGTGGACAATGAAATGTTTCTGGTGCGTGCATTGGAGCGTCTTGGTGGTAAGGTAATCGACCAAGATGAACCGGATATTGGTGCTGCATTTCTCAAGTTTTCCGTCGTCACAAAGGAGTTGAGCGCACTAATGAAAACACTGGTATGTTGTTGCAAAAGAAGAAAAAAAAAAGAAAAAATCGGCAAAATTTTATACACGTTTAACGAAAATCCTTTCAAACAAACTCTTCTCATCGTTTTCACTTTAAACTTGCGACACAGATGCAAAACATCAATAACATCATCATGTTTCCGGTGGACTCAATGCTAAAGAGCGAGCTGCGCGGTGTAAAGGGCGACATGAAACGGCCTTTCGATAAGGCTGCCAAGGATTACGAAGCGAAATTTATAAAAATCGAAAAGGAGAAGAAGGCGCAAGCCAAAGAGGCAGGTATGGTGCGCACCGAAATCGATGCAGCTGTCGTGGCAGATGAAATGGAAAAGGAGCGGCGGCTCTATCAGCTGCAAACGTGCGAGGTAAGTGTATGTGCCTGGTGTACACATACATATATACATACATAGGTATGCCTTAGTTGTTTATTTATTTATATTTCCTTTTCGCTCTTCTAATTGTTTTCTCTGTTTTTTTTTTTTTATTCTCGTTCAACGCTTCCTTTGTATTTTATCTTAACGCAACACCACTGATGGCGACGCCTTTGTATCGACCACCTTGCAGTATTTATTGAAGTATAAAGAAATTAAAACCAAAACTGGTATTGAGCTGCTGCAGCATTTCATCGAGTATTATCACGCGCTAAATAAGTAAGTCAATTTTAAATTGTGTATAGCCAAATTCATATGCTGAACGAATAACGAGCGCGTATACTTACTGTGTGTAATGCGCATGCGTTTGTGCTTTGCATACTAATTTTGCTAAAAATTGCTAATATGTATATTTGATTGTAATTATTGTTATTGTATTTTTTCTATTATATCTTAAAAAAAAAAAAACTTGTTCTCCATCAGTTACTTCAAGGATGGGCTGCAAACAATCGAACACTTTGGCACGTATATCAGTGATTTAAGCGAGAAATTGCAGTTGATCAAACAAAAACAAGATGAGGACCGTCGCAGTTTGCTCGATTTGCGAACACTACTGCGCAGTACGCCCGATTTTGAACGTGCTGAGAATGTGCCGTCGGAGAAGGGTGGTGGAAATGCAGGTGGCTATTCGCTGCATCAATTGCAGGGCGACAAACATCACGGTGTGACACGTTCGGGTCATCTGTTGAAGAAGAGCGAAGGCAAAGTGCGGCGCGTCTGGCAGAAGAGACGATGTCGTGTAACAGCTGACGGGTTTCTTGATATATGCCATGCGGATGAATCGAAACCGCCAACACGCGTCAATCTATTGACATGTCAAATAAAGCCGGTGCCAGATGACAAACGCGGCTTTGATCTAATCAGTTGTAAGTTGGTTTTTCGCAGCAAAATGTAGCTTATGACAGGGACCAGAACGGTTATAATTTTATAAAAAAAAAAACATATTTAATCATTTTAATTCGATTAAACATTTGTTAATTAACTTTGATCGTTACGTGTTTTGTTTTTATGATCAAAGATAATATTCGTTTTAGTTATAAATTTTTCCAATATTGATTGAAAGTAATTTAAACATTTTTTATATTCTGTGATTTCGGTTTTTTGATCATTATTTTGCCAAATTTGACCTTAATTTAATTGAAAACTTTTTTCTAAAATTTCTGGCCGACATTTTGTAATTTGATAATTTATTTATATTTTCGTCGAAAAACCGTTTTCGTTTGAACCAAGAAAATAAATAGCGATTATATTCGGTACCTCCATTAGGAATTTTTTAGGTTCTTTTTTATATTCCAAAAGGAACGCCTCTTTAATTTTTATGCATTATCTATCCTTTCCAGACAATCGTCCATACCATTTTCAAGCTGAAGATGAGGCAGACCAAAAAGCCTGGATGGCAGTTCTAGTGAACTGCAAAGAGAAGGCTTTAGCTAAAGCATTCCAACATGCGAATCCGCAAATGAGCCCGAGTTTGGTAGAACTACAAAAGACTGTTATACGGTAAAGTTTGTTTCTTACTATAATTATTATAGCAAATATTTTTATGCAATAATCTAATCCTGCTATTAGAGAAGCGTTTTTTCAGAAAACATGACAGTAAGCACCTAAGTTTTGGATTTTATGATGAGAAAAAAATATATATTCAAGACAAATTTCGAAATATAAAAACAAAAGCCCTGGAAAACCAAAGCTAATGTTTACTGATACCAGTTAGGAATCCTATTAAAAAAGTTTACAATGTGTATAGTTGGCTCTTTATAGCAGCTGAAGTGATTTTCAGCCTGGCGAGGCGTGATTCCGTTTTAAATTTTTTTGTTTTGAAGCGAAGTCTGGTCAAGACAATTTGGAATTTTTCGGTTATTTATCCTCAAAATTTTTACGTTTCGGAGCTCATTGGGGATCGTAAAGAAAAGTTTCTTACAATCACTCATGCGTCCCACTAAATTTAATTTAATTTACTAAAAAATAGTTATTGTTTATTGAAAAAGGGGAATGCAAAACTGATTTAGGTCTCCTTTTCGAGAAAAATAAAGTACTTTATTTTAGTACACATTTTCCAATCAATGTATTATTATTATCTTATCATCATTATTTATTTATAGATACGTCCAAATGTTGCCGGGTAATGATCAATGCTGCGATTGTGGTTCACGCAATGATGTAACCTGGATTAGTCTAAATTTTGGCATACTCGTCTGTATACAATGCTCGGGTGTGCATCGTGATCTGGGTGTGCATCATTCCCGAATACAAAGTCTTACATTGGACAATTTGACCACTGCAAATTTGTTGATCGCACGCGCCATGGGTAATAGTACACTAAATGAAATAATGGAGGCAACATTAGGGAAGGGTAAACTCACTCCAGAGAGTACAATGTAAGTAACATTTGTTTATATTCCATTGTTTTACATCTAAGAATTTTTACAGGGAACAACGATATGATTTCATACGGGCGAAATATGTTGCAAAACGTTATGTGATGCGCACATGTGCGGATGACAATGAATTACGTTGCGATCTCGAACAAGCTATTGTCAATGCAGATATGAGTCAACTGCTACAGGTCTGGGCTGAGGGCGCCGATCTTACGTGTTGTCTGCCATCGTCAGATGCGGGCGAAACAGCCTTACATTTGGCTGTGTTGAGAGAAATGATGGGTTCAACGTTGCACATTGTTGATTTTCTCATACAGAATATGCCACCAAAGGGTCTTAATAAGGCTACCAATCCGCCGAGCATTATTGATGCGATCGGTCAAAATACAGCATTACACTTGTGTGCGCTACATGATCGTCGTGAATGTATGAAATTGTTATTACGTTCCGGTGCTGATTATGAACTGCGAAATTCACAGAACAAAACTTCACTGGATATTGCCAAAGAAATGGGCCACAATGCCTGCAAAGAGCTGGTTAGTACTCGCACTCACATTCAAAAGATATATGAAATCTGAATTTTGGTTCCATATGAGCATTATTCCTTGATTGTTTTTTTTTTTTGTTTTAATATTTGTCTATTTTACACGACAGATTGAATGTGCCATGCGGCGTGAAAAAAGCGCTTTCGATCACATCAACACTGATTGGAATTTGCCAAATGAGGATGGATCCACAGATTTTTCAGATGACGATACGGTGATCGATGAGAGGGTACAGTTATCAAAATAGCTTTGTTGAATCGCATGTAATTTCTTTATCACTTATTTCTAATTTGACATGAACAGAAGTCGCGCTCACGTCCTCCGAGCTTCGCTGGCGGTGATTCGCCAGTGCTGCGCTCTCGTTCCTCAACATGTGATTCAATACAAAGCAGTTCTAGTCCAATTGCCAATTGTCCAAGTCGACAGTTTACATTGCCGTCCAGTGTAGCCGCATATCCACAATCGGCGGGCACCTCGCCCAAGCAACATGTCGCAATGGGCCAGTATCTAAGTGGTGGTGCTGCTTTGGACGGTGTTGGTCGTGGCGGAAATAACGCCGGCGGCGGTGGCTCCAGCCCGAGTTCGGCATCAAGTCAAAGTGCACGAATTTCGCGTAGCATTGCCAACAGTGAACTGGTGCACATGCAAGGTGCTCGTAAATCAACGTCTACAGGTGAGCGGCCATTGAATTTTTGTTTGTAAGTTTTTTCTATGGAAAATTAAATTAAAAAAATATATATTTAGCGAATATGAATTCACTTAAAAAACGTACTGCACCCGCTCCACCCCCCGGTGTTACATCTACTGTAAGTACAACCACTAATTCGATGTATGGCACTTTACCGCATCCACCGCGTCATTCACAAAATTTTGATACAAGCGATTTACGAAATCTAAATCACAAAAATCAGTCCATGGATGTGGTGTATGGTACATTACCGCACCTGCGTTCAGTGGACAGTAGTCCGCGTATCAGCGGCAGTCATGGTGCCATGCATAGCTTTTACGATCGCTACGATAAAACACAAATAGTGTCACAAGATCCGAATGGTGGTAGTGGTGGCGGCGGCGGTAATAGTAATATGATGCCGGTTATGACAACGTTCGGACACAAACGTTCACCCAGTGGGGAGTCAGTAAATCGTAATTTCCATTTGGCTGGTGCAAAACTAGTACTACCACCAGCTGGGGAAATACCCACTTTAAAGCATGTTGACAAATCTGCTTTGGCGCGACCAAAAATTCCACCGCCAGGACCGCCGCCAGGTATGTAGCGCATTAGTAGAAATATATAAGAGGTTTTGTAGGCTTAGAAATACATAAATGTATATTTACTCGATGTGTGTGTATAGAACGTGAAATTTCCAATGGACAATCGAATGAGAGTATTTGCTCCATGGAGGATGCAGGACCTGTAGCGCCGCCCAGAAAGGTATTTATAAAGTATATAGATAAATTTAGATAAATTTCAATACTGAGGAATTTATGTTTTTACATTTCCAATTTACAAAAAAAAAATTTGGCGTGACTTTAATTTTATCCACATATATAGGTTTATACATATGAAAGTACTTGTAACTCTCGTAGACTTTTTAACACAATCGGGTTGCCATTACTAGGTATATATTATTTCCTAAAAAAAATAATGATGTGGCATATTAATTCATGTTAATTATTGATTGTATATAAAATTTAATATTCTTAAAATCGTACTAAATTAAAAATTATAATCAATTTGCAGCGCAAAATAACAAATTTAGTGAGATTATCCCAACCAAGTGAAGAGACGGTAAAAAGTGCATATAAATTGTTTTCTAATACTTATTCGTATGTCTGTTGTTTCGTTATTCTATATAATGGTTTTGTTTATTATTCGTTACAAGTTCGTCTTCTCGAAATCGCCTCTCAAATATCATTGATATTAACAAATAAAAAAAAATCAAAACTCTTACTCAAGCTCACCTCAGCTAATAAAATCAACAAGCCATAAAAAGCAAGACAAAATTAATTTCTAAACTCATACCGTTATCCGGTTTTGCTTTATTTCTGTTTTAATACAAAAAGCATCACTGTTTAAAAATACTAAATATTATCTTAGTACGTTTGTACAAGTGAATTTTATGTGCATAAATTTTTCTTAACCAAATTGTTTTACTCTCAGCTCATCAATCAGTCCATGAACTACAGTGATTACGAGCCGTGGAACACCGAACTGGATACTTCAGTTGGTGGTGGAGGTGGTGATGGCCACGGACGTGGCGGTAGTGGCAGTAGCGGCGGCGGATTAGACAACTCAGCCGACTCAAATTTGTCATCTAGCGATAATGACCGTATCAGCTCTTCGCCGGACAATCAACTAAAAAGTGGCAAATTTAATTATGTATGCATATACACATTTCATTTTGAAAAATATATAATATAAATCTTAACATATTTGTTTTCAGCAGAATGGCCATCGTCGTTGTCGCGCTTTATACGACTGCGCTGCCGACAATGATGATGAGCTCGAATTCAAGGAAGGTGAAATATTAATTGTGCTTAATGAACGTACTGATGATGAGAATTGGATGGAAGGCGTGATTGAGGGTGAACCCACACGACATGGCATGTTCCCTGTCAGCTTTGTACATATGCTACCTGATTAAATGGTTACAGACTTAACAGAGATTATGGCGGTGAATAAACATCGTAAAGGAATGCTATGCATTATCCCAACGACTTACTCAGTGTTAAATGGAAGATGAATGAGCAGTAAATTGCGATAAACCATAATAATATAATGACGCACAGACCAAATCGTATTATAAAATAAAATCTAATAATAATTGTAGAATGAAAGAAAACATGCTAAAAAATATTTATTTGTAACTAATAATGAAAATATTACTACTACCATTAATTGCTTTACATAATACTACGCTATGTCCTGGTGATATGCTAAAAATATTAGCGAAGCACATACTCATAGGTTTACTTCCGACGCAATAAAAGATGAGATTAATTGATGTAGCGGTTGTAGCTGAAAACGAGAAAAAAATCGAATTGGAAATTGTTAATTGTTGAATAACAAATATATGTGTACGGCAATTCATTCATGTAAGTGTCATATCTAATAAAGTTAAGAAAATCCACTGAATTGCTAATTTGAAAGAGCTCTAAATAAGTGTTTTATACCCCTTTCATATTTATGTAACGTTTCAAAAGTTTTAATTCCAAATTTACATCAACTACTATATTGCATAGGAAAAGATAAACTTAATTATCGAACACAATTTTGGCTCATAATAACATATCGAAATACTATTTATGTTAACTGCGCAAACGCAGACTATGAATACAGATCAGGCATAAATTGATTATTAATATTTATTTTCCAAAATATAAACAGTGCACAAATATAATTGTGTTTAAAATATAAACAGTCGTACATAAATGTTTAAAATTAACGATTTATTAAAAGTTTGCGAGTCTGAAAAGAGTTTTGTAATAAATGTTTAAATACACAAGTGTTAGCATTCATAATCACTATCAATGTAAAATACCGTGAAATTTTCTATGAAATCTACAAGCTGTCAGTGCTTTACAAACATGGCGGGAACAGGCGTCATTATTGCAATGAATGCCTGGGCGACTAAATTAAATTTGGCTATTGTAGTTTAGCGTCAGAGACCATCATCTTCACCTACAACAAAATAATAATACTAAACAAAAAAAAAATGATAAAATTGGTAATACATAAAAATACAATGAACATAAAAAAGAAAAGAGAGCAAAAAAGAAAATAGTAAGCACAGAATTATTATATAATGAATAGTTTATGATAAAGTTATTTCCAACGTTAAAGCATGCAAGTAATTAAAAGTTTAACAATAAATGTAAAATATTAGTAATGCAAAAATACGTATATATATATATATAAAGAAATATAAAGAATGTAAACAAATTAAACAAACAAAAACGATGTAATCAAATCAAAACTGTTGTACCTACAGTTGTGTATAGAAATATTGAAGAATGTATTGTAGAAAACTATAGATTTTATCACATTAACATATATCTTTTCTGTTTATTTAATACTTATCGAAGTATATGTAAACAATATTTTATAACATGATCTAATACATCGTTTAAATGAAAATCACACGCATATGCGACTACTTCGCACTAGCGACTATAGATCGATATTCAAAGCGGTCTTTAAAAAGACAGACGCATATTATCTTCCTATTTACATATCTCGCGACTATCTAGCTTTTATTTTTTTTATTAATTATGTAAATTCGTATATGTATGCGTACTTTATATATTCTTTTATTAATTCGCAGCAAGAGTGTGGGAAAAACTTTTTTTCTAATTGGGTTCCCAGCATGCTGTATGCTCTCTTGGTTGTATATGTTTTATCCTCAAGTTTTGTAAACACATATTGCTTTATGTATTCCTTTCATCCGTAGGCATATTTGTTTGTATGTATGCATATTATACATACATATGAATGTATACTCATTTCAGTATTCATCAACTGTAATCATAATTACTATTATATAATAATTATAACGACTATAAAGTAATGAAAACCTAAAAGTTACTGTCTGTATACAACACAAAGAATTATAAATATCGTTATTATATTATTTAAATTTTGAATAAAACCAGTATATATATATTTATGCGTGTATATTTTGAAGCATCGCTTACACGATAACAACTACACTGTTTATTATGTCACAATTTTTTAATAAAACCGTATACAGTTGTTATTGTGCCGCTTGCCTCTGTATATCTGTCCCAAAAGTCACACAAAATACGATGACATATGTAAATATATATGTACGTATGTATATTTTTCAATATTTATTTATATTATTTATATATATATATATATATTTTAAGTATATAATAAGTTGTTGCATATTCAAGAAATGTGTTACAAGTTAATGCTAAAACATTTATATCCTAATTTTGTTTAGCATATATCATATAATATTATTATTTTGACCTTTCCATAAATATATTTACTAGCTGTGGTAAAACTTTAAAATAAAGAAATGGTTGAATTATCAAGATCTGATCTAATTTAGTGCTTTATTGAGTAGTAAGCGTAAGGAGGTAGCCGCAATTGCCAAGTGAAAGCCAGAGTCTGAGTCCTAATCCGACCAACACCGAATATTATAGATAATTAAATTTTCTAACTGCGGTCGCTCCTCGGCAGGAAATGTTAAGCCCTCCGAAGGTACTTTTGACAAAACATAATGAACTCCTAAAAAAAATCTATCGGCCAATCTGAGTGGGTCCCTCGATTTGTTGGAAAAACATAAAGATACGCCACAAATTGGAGGAAGAGCCCGGCCGAAAATCGCTTCAGCGGAAACGAAACGTCATTTATGTATATATTTTATTTTCAAAAGTACACGTATCTCTTTTTTTGTTACATCTTATCATTTACTTACCTATGTTATATTGAACATATTTTTAGCGATACAAATGCTTAAAAACTTTGATGGCATGACAAATGTTATACCATAATTTATGTAAAATAACAACAGTTTTCAACACTGAAAAAGAACGTCAGTTGAAAGTTATTTGCCATGGAGAAGAGGAAGCACCGCACAGCGCATTAGGCTGCAACTACCCAACGCGCGTACCAGCCGTCCATAGTAACCTATCTTATGAGAGCGCCATGTAAGCACACAAAGTTGTCATTGCTCTCCCATAGCGTTGCTGACGTTTGTGTCGCAGAAACCAACGAAGTTTTGATTTTTTCCGTAAAGCCGGCTCGGCTTATTTTTCGTTGCTATATAAGGTTGCCAGTATAGCCTTTCTTAAAGTAACATTAAATAATCGAAGATATTGCGTAGTTTTGTTCAAAAGAAATGAAAAATAAATGCGTAACTAATTATTTGTTACCATATAGATCATGTATATTTGCTTGTGTTTATGGTTCAAGCAAATGAAATTTGTTGACGAAAATTATGAATTTGTTCAAAAGAGTGCAAACACACAGGCAGCTGGCAACATTTCGCCGCTCTCAGCGACGTCGATAACTCGTTTATGTATCTCGCCTCGACGTCGCCACTTATGGACGGCTGGTGAGTGAAATGGGTAGTTGCAGCCTTAATCAAATAAGAATAACGGCGCTGCCAATGAACATTATAAATAATTCTCTTCTTTATTCTGGAAATCTTCGATAAATTTCTAAATGGAATTGATTTCATTATTTTCCTAATCAGTTTCAATGTAATTTTCTCCAAAATAACTACAAAAAATGTTAAATGTTATTTATTGCTTTAAATCTAAATGTATTTTGTGCATTATGATCGTTCTGCACATAAATCCAATTCAGTTGATCTGGTAGCCTCAACGTCGACATCAAAAGCAGAAGCAGCGGTGGTGATCGAAAGAAAATAAAGACATTTGCAATTGGATTTTCGGAATTATAATAAATATAAAGATATTTTCGATTCTGTTTTAAATTATTTATATAGATTTGTCCGTGTTTTTATTATAGTGTACAGTGAACTATAAAATTTGGTAGCACGTTTTTGTATTGGAAAATTAAAGGAACGGTAAGGGTGGTATTCCGTACAAAATACGACAGCAATCAAGCAGGCATCCAGCTGAAGCACTACCATCCGTTTGCGAACGTCAGAATAGTAGTAGAAGCATAAAGTTAATTCGAAGGTGAGCAAATTTGCCAATGCGGAAACGAAAGAAATGAATTTTTTATTGTGACCCAGGCAACTATTCAACGCCGCAGTTTTGTGCAGCAATATCTTTTTAGTAACCTAAGTTTTATAATCGGAAAAAATATATTTGTAATCACGTACTATATTTCTTAGGCCTTTCGCTCTAACAACAGACACCTTTACGCGTGTGTAATCAGGTAACTATGTACACAAATGTGAATAAACATGAATTTTCAATAACTTTTTGAACTATACAAACAATAATAATAGAGCAGTAAACACCGCCGTCACCATTAGCGCCGCTGGTGCAGTGCGGAAAACGAACTATGAGCGCCGCTAAAAAATACAAGCTTATGGACACAGGTGATCAATTACAGGACACGGAGAATTATACAAACAATCGTTTAAAGAAACAAGGCGATAACAATTTTTATAGTCCCTCGACTTCGGCTCGTTGTGCGTTGGGACAAAATTTGCATCAACCCTCAGCTGCGTCAAGTTCTCAATTGTCGTATAATATGAATAATAGCAATAGCAGTTTGGGCACTAACGGTGAAAGGCGTGCTAATTTCTCAATGTTAGATGGGGCACATATGAACGATCATCGCTCAGCCACAACTACCTCAGCGTACTTTAATAAGATGGGCGCAAATAATGCCTCCAAGCCGGGAGATGTTAAAAAAATTGTAATAAAAAATTTCAAGAGTAAGTTGTGAAAAGCCATTGTAAAATATTTGATATAATATTTATAATCTAAATAGTGAAACCTACACTGCCGGACAATTATTCGGAGCATACTTGCGAAAAATTGCAAGAAGCAGTTGTCGCAATTCAACTGTCAAAGCCAATTAGGTATTCATTAGAAGAGCTGTATCAAGCTGTGGAAAATATGTGCAGCCATAGGATGGATGCGCAGTTATATGGAAAACTTAGAGAGCTTACCGAAGCTCATGTGAAACGCAACGTTGAGTCATTTACAGGCGCGAGTATGGATAAATTGGTAGAAATAACAATTATTGATTAAAATATTTTAAATTAATTAAAAAACGTTTTTCAGGTGTTCTTGAAAAAGATAAATGGTTGGTGGTTATCATTTTGCCAACAAATGATTATGATGCGCAGTATATTTCTATATTTGGATCGGACGTATGTTTTGCAAAATCCTACTGTTCACTCAATATGGTATGCAGAATTATTTCTAAAATTGTATTTGTGTTAATATTTCTGTTACACAATAGGGATATGGGCTTGGATTTATTTCGGACTCATATAGCAATGAATGAAAAAGTACAAAAACGTACTGTGGAAGGAATACTTATGCTAATCGAAAAAGAACGTACGGGTGATGCGGTGGATAGGGGATTACTTAAGAGTCTCATACGAATGTTATGTGATTTGCAAATTTATATTAGTGCTTTTGAAGATAAATTCCTTATTGCAACAAAGCAATTGTATCAGCTTGAAGGACAACGTAAAATGCAAGAAATGGATGTGCCCGAATATTTACGACATGTAGACAAACGATTGGCAGAAGAAAACGAACGACTCTTGCACTATTTAGACTCTAGTACCAAGTAAAACCTTTAATCTGAAGAAAAACAAATTGACTTTAAAATTTTCAAAATTTTTGCAGGTATCCTTTAATTTATACAGTAGAAAAGGAGTTACTTGCAGAACACCTTACACACATCCTACAAAAAGGTCTGGATACCCTCTTGGAAGAAAATAGACTGAGTGATCTCACACTTCTGTACAGCCTTCTGAGTCGAGTCAAAAATGGCACTGCCGAACTGTGCGGCAACTTTAACGGTTACATTAAGGTATAGTTATTAGATTTTATACATTAATTAATTATTTAATTTATAATGATATATTCAAAATCGAATTCTGTAAAAGCCATTGCACCAGACATTGTTTGAATTGCTATAATTTTCTTTTTTTTCTTCAGAAAAAGGGACGTACCATTGTTATAGATCCTGAAAAGGATAAAAGTATGGTACAGGATTTGTTGGACTTTAAGGATAAAATGGATGTGATCGTGCGCACATGTTTCGAACATAATGAAAAATTCACGAACTCTTTGCGAGAGGCTTTCGAATTCTTCATAAACCAACGAGCGAATAAACCGGCCGAATTAATAGGTTTGTATTATAACTACAGAATATTTTATAGATGTTAATATTTTGTTGATTGAAATTTAGCTAAGTATGTAGACATGAAACTGCGTGCTGGAAATAAGGAAGCCACAGAAGAAGAATTAGAACAGATACTTGATAAAATCATGGTGCTGTTTCGTTTTATACATGGCAAAGATGTCTTCGAGGCATTTTATAAGAAGGTACCGTTTTTTTTTATTATGGATACTTGCTAATTTCAAATACCAAAATTAATGCTAATTTATATTCAGGATTTGGCAAAACGTTTACTGGTTGGAAAATCTGCATCAGTTGATGCTGAGAAGAGCATGTTGTCCAAGTTAAAGCAAGAATGTGGTGGTGGATTCACCTCGAAGTTGGAAGGCATGTTCAAGGATATGGAGTTGAGCCGCGATATAAATATTGCATTTAAGCAGTATGTCGGAAATACGGATACAGAGATAACCAGTATGGATTTGACTGTCAATATACTAACAATGGGCTATTGGCCCACATATCCCTTAACTGAAGTCACTATGCCACCACAACTTGTGAATCCGCAACAAGTTTTCAATAAATTTTACTTGGCTAAGCATAGCGGTCGTAAGCTCCAATGGCAGCCAACACTGGGTAATTGTGTGCTTAAAGCGCAGTTTGATGCGGTATGTCGGATTTATTAAATATTAGATTCCATTAGTTTGTGAATTTATGAAATTTTCTTTATTAAAAGGGTCCCAAAGAGCTATTGGTTTCGCTGTTTCAAGCACTTGTGCTCTTACTGTTCAACGACAAAAACGCATTGAGTTTTGAAGAAATCATTGCTGCTACAAATATTGAAGTAAGTGAAGTGAAATTAGTTCTTTTATATACATACTCACTTATATATACGTATTATATATTAAATGTGTCTCATGATTTCAGGATGGAGAACTGCGCAGAACCTTACAGTCGTTAGCTTGTGGGCGTGCGCGTGTTATTACGAAAACCCCAAAGGGTCGTGAGGTGGTGAACAAAGATTTGTTCCAGTATAACAATGAATTTACAAATAAATTGTTCCGTATAAAAATCAATCAAATCCAAATGAAGGAAACGGTATGCAGAAAAATGTTTAAATTTAACAATAATATTTGTAATAAAAGTATTTCTTTTTTTTCTGGATTTATTTTAGACGGAAGAACAAAAAGCAACAGAAGAGCGCGTTTTCCAAGATCGACAATATCAAATTGATGCAGCCATTGTGAGAATAATGAAAATGCGTAAAACGCTTAGTCACAACCTGCTCATTGGAGAACTCTTCAATCAATTGACATTTCCTGTTAAGGTAGTGTGTTATTGAATGTTATGGTTTTTTCCACTTAAAGCTTTTAATGCTTATCTATTGCCCTTACAGCCGGCTGATTTGAAGAAACGCATTGAATCACTTATAGACCGCGATTATATGGAACGCGACAAAGATAATCAAAATCAATACAATTACGTTGCTTAAATTATGATTTCTATACATATAAGGGCTCTACGACAGTCGACATCGCTCGCAAGCAAGCCCTTTTTCCATTATCAGCATCTAACATGTAAACATTACTTCATTCGCAACATCAAATAAAACAAAAGAAATTAATGAGCGGTTACTCACATCATATCCTTTTGCTTTACAAACGTATAACAGTTTAAATGTCGTTATATATGTATTAAATAACTATGTGTTTAAAAAGGCATATTCGGACAAAAAATGGATAACAACAAAGTTAAGCTAGCACTGAGCCAAAGTTCTAAAGCTTGCCTTGATTGAAGAGAATAAAAGAGAAAAAGCCGAGATGATACCCCACCATATCGGCTTATAAATTTGTATATCTAAAATTAGTTTCCTTTTATAAACTTATCTTATTTTCAAACTTTTGCAGACTGCACTGTATAAATAACTACTATTAAAATGAAGTAACTTCTTACGAATGTTCCCAGATAAATATATACACACCTGTTACTCTTCTTCTGATCTGACTTGGTTATATGAATATTTGTAAAATGTTTGGGGTGTATAGAAATTGTTATAAAGACGACATGGTAGAACAAACACGACAAAACAGTTTTAACATGTTCAAAATGAAGTATTTAATGGGGGGAGGAAATATCTAGATGCTTGCATAGACTTGTACGTTTAGCGTTAAATGAGTTATAAAATACACATGATTCATATGAATTCGATGATTGGCTTAAAATTAATATCTTGTTCTTTTGATAATTTAATTCGTAGTGTATAACATATTATAATAATATTAAATATAATAAAGATATGTGTAATTTTAATATTGTTGTATGCATTAATTCGTGCGGTTTTATCGAAAGCTAAGACTTTATAGTGGAAAAATTGTTATACATTTAAAGTTCAAAGTATTGTATAAAGGCACCCAATTTCCAAGCTACTGGATGAATCGTAATGATTTTAATCGTCTTGAAACGGTTGCTTGATCAAATCCTAATACTTTTGCAAGTTCTTCTTGCGTCTGGCATGCATCTGCGTCGAACAATGTCTCAAATTCTTAGTCTTGAAATTTTTTTGCTGTCCGGGTCGTTCTCCGTCGTCTAATTCGAAATTGCCGCTTTTAAACCGTGCAAACTACTTTTGGCACGTTTGTTCGGCTAAAGCATGGTCCCCATAAACGCCCAGTAAAATACGATGGCTTTCGGTAGCACTTTTCTTCATGTTAAAGTAAAAGAAGAACTCTCCGCAAAAACACCTTATCTGGTAAAAATTTCGGCATTTTCAAATGAATAAAACAAATTGTTGTTCACACCAAAGATAATATGATATGAAACTTACTCACTTATCTATTATCTTTGGGCCTCGATAAGGTTCTGTTGCCAGCTCAAACTACAAGATCGAGGCCCAACAGTCAGCTGCGGGTAATAAATGTGTGTGTGCCACACACAGTCCGCTAAAAACTAATTTAAAGTTAATAGGTTTTTTATATTTAATTTTCATGAGAAGTTTGCTTTAATTATACCTAGTTATAACAAAAGTGTGCAAATATGTATTACTAGCGAAAGGACAAGAACCCCAGCCCACAAGTGATTCAAATTCTTTCAAAAAATATTAGGTTGAGTAGTAGTAAACAGTTGGGAAAAATATTATTAACACACAAAAATATTGCTTAGATAGTAAAAATTAATTTTTTTATTAAAAAAATATTCTTTGTAGATATGTTACATTAATAGTGGTTTAAAAAATATCTATTAAGTTAAAGATTAGCTAACCGGATAGAATTTTCATTATTTTCATTAAAATTGTGTTTTAAGAGTGTCCAAACTAAATTTGATGATCAATTATAAGAGCAAAAACAACACCCAAAATTTTTATTCAATTATACACAAACATAATTTCATCGTAGTGGCAAGATTTGAAAATGTTATAAATAAAGCACATTTTTCGACGCTCTCACGAGATAAAGAGTTTCGTATCACATTATTTTTGCTGGTAGAGCCCTCTCTTACTATATTTACTATGTTATTGCTCTCCTATATACTTGTTTATACTTGTTGTTTGTACATTTTTTTACTTAAATTATTTACAAACAGTTTTCTTTTCAGCTAATTATAAGAGCAAGAGCAGTATTTCAATTTAATTTCATTCATAATTTATTAGTTTTATTTATTTTATCATAATTAACTCTTTACAAATTTATTTTTTGTTTAATTTTTATAATTAATAATTTTCTACCACTCAGCTATTATATTTGTAATGAATTTGAACAAAAAACCTCTATCTGGCAGCTCTAACATAACCTGAAACAACCCATTGATAATAGCACTTAAACCCACATCGCCGGCTGTGGCAACAATTAAAAATTTATTTTGCGAAATAGCAATAGATTTTATAAAAAATCATATGGACGGTGTAAATTTATTCACACAATTTGTGGCTCAACACAAACCACAGTTAGAGTCATCGGGTGTGCCACAGCATTTTTGGCAGTCTTTGCATCGAAAGCTAGTAAAAGAAACTTTCGATGCTGGTATTTTTCTTCAATTATTACTCATTGATTATGAAGGTGATGATCAAGAGAACACACTTGAAACAGGAGCGGTAGGTGATACCAACAATAAAACACTACTTGTCGCTGAGGAGCCCCGTCCAAGGTTTGCTCTTTCTGTTGCATGTGAAGAAGGCATTAAGGCCAAAGATCCAGATGCTATATATCTCATTGATCACGCATGGACATATCGTGTGAACTATGCTAGACAGCAGTTGGAACAGCATGAGCAACTTACCGATCGTATGTGTGCTATAATGGGTGTTGATATAGATGATGAAGATCGTATTGATCAGATTTTAGTAAAAATGTGGCGTTACTGTCATTCCTATACAATTGCCACAAATGGTCTCTCAGATGAGGAACGTCTACCCATTTGGTATGTGATGGATGAAGTTGGTTCAGCTATAACTCATTCAGATGATCCCAATTTCCGCTTGGTTCCATTTTTATACTTGAATACTCAAACCACATACAGTCTTTTGTTTCCCATTCGTGATTGCGATTATGAAGAGCAAGTAACCCGTGATTTTGTTGAGTATGTTAGCAAACACACTGCTGATCGTGATGCCTTATTGCTGCCTTGGCGTGCAACTGACTTACGTGAGCACAGTTTCGTGCAGGTCGAACCTGATGCAGAATACTTTTCAAGTGGTCACATACCAGAATCGTATCCCGAAGGTGATATTGCCACATTAGAGCCTCGGGTAAATCGTAATCAGCCACTGAAAGTCTACAGTGAATATGATGTAGTTAGCATGCATCTCACAGACTCGTGCTTCCAATTAGTAGCTAATGAATCTGAAGCCGATGTGCTTTGGTTAACTCACCACTATAAAAATTTTGCTGAGTTGGCGCATAATACGCCCAATAAGTTTATTAATCAATTTCCATATGAGTACGTTTTGACTATAAAAGATTTATTAGCAATCACTGGTAGACGTACAGCAAAACAACACCACAACCCTGATACACTGGAAACGTATCCTCGTTGGTTACCAACTACATTTAACTTGAAAACTGAGTTACTACAATTTGCGTCATATTATCAGCATCGTGTTGCCAAAGGTCTCGATAACCACTGGATAGTGAAGCCATGGAATTTAGCGCGTGGCTTAGACACTCACATTTCGGACAGCATTGTACAAATTGTGCGACTTCCAATCACAGGGCCAAAAGTTGCTCAAAAGTATATCGAACGCCCAGTTCTATTTAGACGCTCCGAGTTGGACGCCGAGGTAAATTTATGATGTTTGCCAAAAGATTCATACTAATAACTTTTTATGCCCAATTTTAAAGGTGAAATTTGATATACGTTATGTGATACTTGTTAAGAGTTTTCAACCTCTCGAGGCTTACGTACATAGGAAATTCTTTTTACGTTTTGCGAATAAATCTTTCAGTCTTAACAACTACGACGATTATGAACAACACTTCACTGTGATGAACTATCACGAGGAAGCGGAACTTCGTCATATCAAATGTGAAGATTTCTTAAGTCACTGGAAGGAGCAGTATCCCGCGTACGATTGGCCGATAATCGAGAGGGAGATATGTATGATGTTACATGAAGTGCTATCTTGTGCAACCAAAAAATCGCCACCATGCGGTATACCACCTTGTCAACAATCGCGAGCTTTATATGCTGCAGATATAATGCTTTCTTGGGAAAGGTCTAATGGAAATGAAAGAGATCGCATGCAGCCGAAACTGCTGGAAATTAACTGGACGCCTGACTGTAAGCGAGCGTGTGATTATTACCCTGACTTCTTCAATGATATATTCAAATTGCTATTTCTCGGCGAACAGAATAATGAAAGTTTTTTGCAATTAGAAGGAAATACATAAATATTCTGACACAAAAGTATTTGAGATGAATGCATTTATCTCTAGAATTATGGATATTAACAAAATATGTAACATCATTTTTGCTACTTTTTCTAAATTAGTTTCATTGAAATACATTTGAAAAATTATCTATTAGTTTATTTTTCTAATTTTGTTAAAACTATTTTTTGTATTAGTTTTTTCATTTTTTTTGGGGTTTGATTTTTTACTTCAATATTTTTAAATTTCCCACTTCAATTTATTTTAAGTTGCTTTATTTTCTTTCATTTTTTATTTTTTATTTTTTTTTATAAAACAAAAATTTATTATTTTTTTTAAATTATAAAATAAATTTAATTTTTTTTGAATTTTCAAAAAGATTTTTTTTATATTTTTGTTATTTAATCATGTTTTCTTAAGATCTCTGCCAGAGAACGTAAATACAACATTTTGTATTTACATTCTTTGATAAAGGTTAAGGAAAAAGTGGAAGAAAGAGTTCTAAAATTACATACCACTCTTTCTTAAGGCCGCCATTGAACATACCATTTTTGACATTTCTAACGAATTTGCGAAAAAAGCAATCATTGATAATTTATTTTTATTTTGCTTTGTTAGTATTGAAAAATGCTTTTTAAGCTTACAGTTGAGAAATGATTTAAGGATTTATTTAATATTTATTGAATTTAAACAGCAAGTTATATACAACCAAAATTCCGAGTTGGAGTATTATAATATATGCAGTCGTCAGCAGTACTTACAGGTAATAGTGTGAAAAGTGATTTTCTTCTGAAAACAATTGCTAAGTCATGGAAAATATTCATATTGAATTTAATTTATGTAAAAAATCTGTTTATATGGTCAAGTACTGAAAAATTAAATATTTATATACATAAAATAATAAATTCGAACTATGCATTTGTGCATATCTATGTATGTATATGGGCAGGAAACTTCTTACTGAATGAGTCAGTGACCCACTGCGTGATATATCTACAATCAATTGTTTGTCAATCATATCCTAAAATGAAAAAGAAAACAAAAACAATGGTCTTATCTATGTATAGAAGAAATAAATTAAACATGCATTTTCTGGGAATATGTTATTGTTTTTAAGGTAATTCAATACTAGCCATCAGCTTCAAATGTTTGTTTATACTCGAAAATAATAACTGAACTGAAATTTCCACATAAAATGGCAACATAGAATATATTATATAGGGTTATGCATTTCGTTGTTTCAAAAAAAAAAAGGCAAGGCTGTATTTTGAAATTCATCAGTAAATTTTAAATGTTAAACCATACATGTTTTGTTTTAGTGAAAAGTCTAGAATTTATGAATATGGATCGCTTAAAAACCACACAGCGCGTTAAATTTTTTAAAACCTACCACAAAAATGATGCTTCAAACGTAGTTACATATCGTGCTCAAAGAGTAAATTATGGTGCACATAATTGCTAAAATTTGAAAGGAATTTGAAGAGGCTGGATCAGTTTCAGAAATCGTAAGGTTCCATAGTTTTGCTAGGTCTACTAATATTGCTCAACGCCGTACAAATGTACGTCGATTTGGCAATGCCAAATGGCTACTGAGCTCGGGCGAATCGGTCACTTCAATGATGTAGTATTTCACAAGTAATGCCAAGGTTCAAAAAGAATAATTCAAAATGAACGCAAAACGGATAACTCTGTATATTATATAAATAAATATTTAATGATACATATTTAAATTTTCGACTCTCTTTTTGAGCACTTTGAATTGTGTAAAATTTTTGTTTGTTATATATAGTATGTTAGCTACTAATTTTCTTAATTAATATCCGCTTTTCAGTCAGTGAAGGATATGCATTAAAGGCGGTAGTACTCTGCTCTTACATTGACAAATTATTAGATTGAGCTCCAAAATCACAATTAGATATATGTAGATTATGTCGGTAAGCGATGCCGATGAAATACGATCAGCTGCTGAAACGCTGATAACAGGTTCTCGGAACACTATGTCCTATCGTACAATGAGTGGGCCTATGCTGCCCAACTATGACATGTGTAAGTAGAATTTTGAATGAAATATATTCCAACATTTATGTATGTACATATAGATTTAAGCTTTAATTAAATATAATATAATATATTATAAACAGCACGCACACATTCCATCAACTTGATTACCGAAGAATTTCTCGGCGGCTATATGCAGGATGGACGAATGTCCGTGGTACGACGATTCTTCTGCCTATTCGTGTTATTCGATTTGTTCTTTGTATCGTTGTTGTGGCTAATATGTATAATGGTATGCTACTAGAGTGACAGTATGACCTAAATATTACATTTATAATCATGGATTGTTTTTGCAGATAACTGGTGATAATATATTTCAAGCATTTCAAAAGCAAATTGTTCATTATACGTTTGGTACATCGTTGTTTGATGTAGTTGGAGCTGCCATATGCCGTTTTGTCGTATTGACATTTTTTTATGCATTGCTATATATAAATCATTGGATTATAATTGCTGTGAGTTGAGATAATCTATGTTAGAATCAGAATTCAGAAATCTTCCTAATCGCAAATAAATTTAATTTTTACACTTTTTTACATACAAACGTATAATATATACATCTTATTTATATACGTATGTAATAATTTATTAGGACAACTATTTTCTATAAGCACCCTATATGTGTTATCAAATTATTTACACAATACGTATATATGTATGTACATGTATAAGCAATTGCAATGAATAAGTGCATACAGATACACCCATAAGGAAATATATGTACTATATACGAGCATATTTATATATAACAGAGTAAAATGCTGATAATTCTTTCCATAATTCATTAAACTTTAACACATTACACTTGCATATTGCAGTTATCAACGAGCGGTTCGTGCCTATTTTTAATCTCCAAAGTATTCGTCTACGATGTGAGTAAAAAAATTTAAACATTTTTGCGTGCATTAAATTTTTACCTGCAATTAATTAATTTATTTCAACATATTGCAGTGGGTTGACTCGCGCCAACAGGTTTTTGAAGTCATACTGATAATAACGTCATTTGTATTAGCCTGGGGTGAGGCTTGGTTCTTGGATTGTCGCGTTATACCACAAGAGCGACACGCACGCAGTTATTTTTCATGTAAGACTGAAATTAAAAAATACAATTTTTACTAATTATATAAGTTTTTTCATTTATAAACATACAATATTTTATTCTTATATATTTGCTTTAGCAATAACAACGCCCGAACATCGTTCACCAATGATGGCACCATTTCTAGCCTCCCAACCGGATCGTACTGGTCCGGAGAGCATTTTTTACTCACCACTGGAAACAGTGCATAACAGTGATGATGAAGACGATGAACAGGTGTGTATGTGTGTTAGTCGCGTGGGTGTTACAGATTTTCATATGCAATAGCTGCATTCACATGAGTCTATATATATGTGTGTAAAACATTGAATTTACAATGAAACAATTTCACAGATAAAATCGCCTCAAGGCCACTTCCAACAATCATGATGTTAACGATAACAGTTTCAATAAACTTTTTTGTTTTATTGAACAAATTTGCATAACGGCATATGAATGCGTAAATATATTTTGAATACCGTTTTGCACTTGAATTATATTACTTCTTTGAATTGCAAATTTTTATATTTATTCTAAATCTGTAAATCATCAATAACACTACAATTGAAGTGATCACCGTTCAATTGCATATTCAATTAGGGATATTCAAATGTTGGAGTTTGGAGAAAAAAACAAGCAAACTATTTTCCTCTTTCGTATTTTTAGTAATATATAAGATGAAATTTCTTCTGAAGCATACAACAAATGTTGTTTGTGGTTTTGGAATTCAAGTCATAACACGACTATTTTCCAAAAACACCGTCAACATGCAAAAGGTCTCAATTCAATATCAAAAAAAAAAAATAATATCCAAATGTGTATATATATAATCCAAATTGTAATTACAGGATGAGGAGTATCATCAAATGGCTTTGAATTGTGTGCGTGTAGCATATGATCTTTTCGAATCACCCGAATGGAAAGTTGAAAAGGTTACGAATAAAGGTGATACCATTCGCAGTACACAACGTGATAAAATGGGGAAAATTTATAGACTCACGGTGAGTATTTTATTTAATTTAATTCAATATAATTTTATTTGGTCACTGTTCTTTATTTCATGCCATTTACTTAATTTAATTTAATTTTATCATATTTCGTGGTATTTTATTACTTTATAATAAATCCTATTTTCATTTACTTTATTTTCTTATTATTTTTTTAAATTTATTTAATTTTAACTCACTTAATTTTAATTTAGTCTATTTTATTTTGTTTAATTTTGTCTCATTTAATAAGTTTTTGTTTTATTTAATTTAACTTCATTTTACTTTATTTTATTTCATTTTGTTTTAGTTTTTATTTTATTTTATTTGACTTGATTTTATTTCGTTTTAATTAATTTAATTTTATTTCATTTCAGTTTGCTTAGTTTTGTTATTTAATTTTACTTTATTTTCTTCTTTAAATTAAACTTTTAGTTTTATAATTTTTTTTGATGCAATTTTATTTTTTTTTAATTTTATTTTACATCATTTCCTCTTATTATATATTCTTTTAAATTTAATCTATTTTCTTTTATTTTTTTTTATTTTTTAATTATTTTTTATTATATTTTATTTTTCTTGTTAAAAAGTAATAAAGTAAAAGTAAAAAGTGAAGTATATTAAAATTAAAATTCCTTATATTTTCAGGCTAGTATAAAATATCCACCTAAAGAATTGTTGGACGAGCTTTTCTATAAAATTGAAAATGTTCCAAAATGGAATCCAACTTTGTTGGAATCGAAAATTGTACATGTAAGTAAATTAATAAGAAAATTTTCAAATTCATGTACACATATATTGTATAATCTAAAAATTTTGCTTCGTTTATAATATATTTATTTGCAGAAAATCAACTCCTACACAGATATCACTTACCAAGCCAGTATTGGCGGCGGTGGTGGTTTGGTGAAGAGTCGCGACTTTGTTAATCTGCGGTGTTGGCGTCTCTTTCGTAATGGTAAGATTTGTGAAGAGTCTGATGATGATGACCAAGAGGCCGATAGCGGCAGTGACACTGCTGGACAAGCTAGCGTATCAACAGTGTCAGACGATGATTCTGTACAGACTACACAGCCTAGTAGCGTAGAAAGTAATCGTGCGAAATTCTCCAGTAGCGGTAGTGCAATGCGTGAAGGTAGCCGCAGTGGCGGAGGTGACGAAAAAATTAGTGTAAAAAGTGGTCGTGCATTTAAAACATTAAGCAAAAGCTTAGGCGCTAAAGACTTTAGCACCATAGTACGCATCGATCCAGATGAGCCGCCACCGTTAGATGAGGACGCCTTCGAGGATGCGCACGATAATGTTGATGATTTGACGCAATTGGTGCATAAGGAGGCACGTGTGGGCCTGCAAAGTGTTGATATCGGTGAAGGAGCGACCGCAAGTGGTGTGCTAGGTGCAAAGAGTGATAAAAGTAAAGTATATTTGAGTGCGGCCATTAGCATAGATTATGCACAAGTGCCGCCAACGACAAAGTATGTACGGTGAGTATTAAAAGTTATTTGTTAACTAGAGTTCAGTGCCACGCAGGAAAAAAAAGATGAAAAAAATATAATAAATATAATTTTGTGTAGAAAACTCTTTCTACTATTTTGAAATTATTTATGATTACCAACATTTTAATAACCTACATACATGTTTTACTGATTTCTATACATAATAGTGGTGAAAATCTTGTAGCTGGTTTTGCCTTACGTGAAATCGCTGGAAAATCTGATGCCTGCATAATTGATTGGATACTGTGTTTAGACTTAAAGGGTTACCTACCACGTTATGTATTGGATACTGTAAGATACAAAATTTAGTGCTCAAATATAATTACAATCTTTTTTTGTAATATCTTCATTTTTCCTTTCCTTCCTGCAGGCCTACACCACCTTCATGGCTGACTATATGAAATATCTGCGTAAATATGTAGCTGAATTGCGTAAGAAGCGCAAACGTGTGTCTAGAAAATAGTCAGCGCATTAAGCGATAAAAACTACCTTTTAGTTACAGTTTAATTTTTGTAAGGATCGTAATTTTTCATATAGTAAAAAGCACAATCATTTTCATTGGTATTAACAAATTCCACAAATCATACAAACAATATTAATGTACTACACATATAGATTTATAAATATAGTTAAATTACAAAATTTTTTGAAAAACTGTAAAGTTAGAAACAAAATTTATAGAATCCATCTTCACATTATGGTATTTGTTTGTTTAACATTTAACTCTTGTTACTATTAAACTTGAAGAAAAAAGAAATTTCAACTCAAAAAAACAAAAAATATGTAACTAAAGCTTGACGGCAAAAAAAAAATCATATTTCTTATGCGATTAGTTCCACGAAATTTAAGAACAAAGTGATCATGTGTATTATTTCTATTCATCTACATACATACATGCATACATACAGTCACATAGCTAGGTTAAAAAACAATTGTTTGCGTTTAGTTATATATTTTCTAGGTTCATGTGCTCAAAAAAAAAAAAAAATTTGTATGTAGGTGTAGGTGAATTATGTCTATTTTCGGCAATATCGTATATGTTTCATATTTATACGTATATATATATATTAATTTATATATATTGCAGCTTCTTGTAATATTTCATGACATTTTAGGTGATAACAAACCAATTTATTAACATTTCATACAAATATCGAACATATATATATATATATATATACATAAATGAAATTTCATTATTAATTTTAATATACATAACTAAAATGAAACTTACTGATTTGCCAGTTGCTGATGCTAATTATAATGGCTGTTTTATTATTGGCTAATAAAATATATTATGTATGCTTTTTGTATTTACCGACAATAAATATATATATGTACATATATTTTTTTTTGGAAATCGAAATGAGTTTGCTGTATGAATTTGTTGCGAATAACTTGAAAGGAAAAAAAGGAAAAGAAAAAAAACTATGCTGCTTCCAACTGTGCGCCGGGGACTAGGGTGGTGTAAATGAAGAAGCTACAAGCCTGCCAAAACACCGCCCTCAGGAGCGTGACAATACAGAGAAACACTTGCACAACGAAACAGCTACGCTACGAGTTAAGGAGTATAATGCTTTGCTGTGCAAGGCACTTACTAGAAGGCGAACCACCACCCAGGCATCTCAAAAAGGTAATACCCGACTTTATGGCTGAATTTAGCACCACTTACAACAACCGCTAGACAGGATGGCTTACCGACAGTCATTAAACGTCATTCACCGAGAGTACGTCAACACCTTCCTGAGCGCTCATCCCATGAAACCAACACCAATTGCAGACGAAGAGCTCAAGCTGCCTCGAGAGCCCCGCGTAATACTGGTATAACAGGTCCCAGTTCAAACTCCTGCTTATCCACATTCGACCCCGACAGGACACTACACACTTTTGCATGCCTCTTGAAACCAACTCAACTAAACCCTCTCTCTCTGGTCCGAACCCGTCGAAACAGCTCGTTTCCTGGACCTCCTGTTAAATGACTTCGATGACACCAAAAGCGGTAGAGATAGACGAACAATAAAGGAAAATTATATATCGCCTTATAGCTCACCATTCCGTCAACTGCGGTATTCGACTTTCCCAATGCGCAAATGGCCAAGAATTTTATGCATAACCTTTCTCTCGAAAACTTCTACTCAGCAGTTATGAACTCTTATAAAATATTGTACCTTCTCTATGCAGTTCGTATTTTTTTCCCAAGTAATAAATTAAATTGGCGACCGTGGTAGCCGCGTGGGCACTGCTTACTATTTTTCGGACGGGCCGGGTTCAAATCCTGGTGTCGTACCAACATCTAAAAGTTGGAGTCGGCAATAAGCTCGATAAGTAGTCAACTTTTCTGTCTCGTTTGGTATCAAAATATCTTTACGATCATCATCATCGAGTGAGAAATCCCGTTCACCAACTCTTTTTGTTTCATTTTCTCCGTCATTCAGCAGGCTGCAAAAGTTTTTCCTTCATAATCTAGCATACTCGGTAGCATGAATGGGAAGATACCTGATCTGGACCTTTAGCACATAAATTCCATTGCAAACAATAGGTACTTTAGCTGTATCGCTGATAATATATGCTAGAGCGCAAAAACCAAATGACAGCAACCAATTAGCTAGCGCCCAAAGTTATGCCAGGATTTACGCTCCTCGCCTAAACACTGCGCATCAGTCGCTAGATGACTTTTCTCGGTCCCACAAGAGTTTGATCCTGTCGCCCAACCTTCTATAAGTCGCTGTATCCTTTTGTAGAACTTTCGAGCATTACGAGCACTTCCAGCTCTTCATATTCAAGCATCCTGGCCTATTTTCTTTTTGTCTGCACAGCGTCTTGCTTCCCTCTCGTAAAGAGATCGAACGCAACGCTACGAGGTAGGTAGCTTGTTTTCCCTCCCCTGCGGCACGGCAACCTTCATGATCATTCCGAAAACCAATAGTTTCATTGGTAGCTTGAAATGCCGTCCCATCGCATCTTTTTTCGAAGCCGAAGTGCAAGTCGAGTGGAAAACGGTTCGGTTATCTGTTATGATTGCAGTTTTCTGTTGTGACGTCAGTTGAGTTTATTTTTGTTCGATCTCAAAAATGCAAGAAGAATTCGAAATATTTAAATTTTACGGTCGCTTCATTGAGCATTTGCTTTATTGAGTATTTTACTTAATAACATTACTGTTATAAATTAACTTTTATATACATATATATATATATATAGCTATATAAATAATACGAGCAGAAAGCCTAGGTTATAATATTCGTTCCGAAGTTCATAAATTTAATTACTAATTTACAATATCGTAGAAGTATTAAATTTATATACATATATAATATTCATAATTATCAAGTAATGATCGTTAATATGCCACAGTCGCCACTCTATCGATGATGGTTGAGTAAGTCGGCCGATATCTATTTGCTTTCGCCTTGTGGAAACCATGATTGACAAGCCTCCAATGCGATTTCGCACATTGCAGTGATGGCCTTGGCATTATCATATTCTGCGAGTAAGACAAAATCAACAATTAATGACGAAAATCCCATTTGTATGTACATATGTGTATATAGCAAATTGATAACGAAGCTTTACTCACCCAAAGAATTGCGTTTGCCAAAGATGCTGCCATTGAATGGAGGCTTCCTGTAAGCAGCCTCGCCGTAGCTGCACATGCTGATGGCCAAGATCAAGGCAAGGAAGCAGATAGTGCTGAATGAACGCATTATTACTGTTTTTTGTTGTTGTGGAAATATAGACTGTGGTTTGCTTATCAGCTTTTTCGGTGCTTATTTGGCAGTGATGCGTGTTTTTATGTGCTGTTGGGCTTTTGAATTTAGTTCACTTGCTGTGAATGAATGCTCGGCTGTAACTGATGCTGACTGATGGTGATGTTGGCGTTTTTATACGTTTTCCCGGAATCCTGTTTGTATTATGCACTATCCTTTTGCCTCAAAGCAATCCTCATTGCCTTTGCCGTTGGTAATTGCTTGGTGTATCAGCTACTAATTACGATACGAAATCCCAAAGGAGCTTGAGGGCTGACAAGCTTCGGTCACTTTGATTGGATATTAATTGATTACTCATTTATACATACATATACAATCTATGTGTGTTCATAAGTATATATAAGATGCTTGCATACATCAAAAAATCCTTCATTAACTGAACATATGTACATACTTTCTTCTTGGTGTAGGTCGAATCAAAACCTATTAATCTATCACAGAATGCTCTAAGTTCTTTTTTATATTCACTACGGAATGTTAAATGCGCACTATTTTCTTAGTACCAACCTCTTTGGTTGCTGCTGTTTAAGGCAGTTTTGAAATGGACTTAGTACAAGTGGTGTGCTTGCGAGCTGTTTCAAGACTTGCTGCAAGAGGAATATCCAAGCTATAGGACTAGGACCGATCAGCTCATTGAGAGAGGACTTCAGTGGGGTTCACCTCTTTGTGGATTGAACCGAGCACTCTTAGGCGGATTGTGCATGGAACGTCTGATTCAACCTCATGAGCCATTCATGTTCGCCATCTCTGTGTGTTTCACTTTGACTGAAATCAAGCAGACTGGCGGTACCACCTATAAACTCTGTATAGTCTGAACATTGACCTCTAGATTTTTGATTCCTATATGAGTAAGCTATAAATTTAAAATATTCTGTACATCGCTATGCGATATGCGGCTTATAGTTTTCCAGCATTTTATTACAGGGCCAGTTTTGTTAAGTTTTTTATACGCAACGGCTTGACTACTTTGTTCTACCGGGGATAGCATCTGCCTTTTCTCTGCAACACTCGAAAGTGTTTCTATAGTAGGAACTTGAAATTCTGCCCTACAGGTACGACTAGTAGACTTTGTTGTTGTATACTCTAGCGGGAAACTGTTTGGCTATCTGTTGGGTTTACAGCTTTGTTTAACCTTCCCTGAGTTAGCATTCGGACGTTCTTAGCTGCAGTGAGGTACATGCGTATCTCGACTGCAACAAGTTAGTGGTTCGACTCGATGTTAGGAAGTTAGGCGCATCTAGATCACCACAGCATTGTAACCAAATCGACGAACTTTTCAATCACAGACAACTATATTTCGAGTCACGGCGAAGTTCGTTAGTTGCAGCCGATTTTAGAGCCACGATGGATGAATTTTTGAACTCTTGTATCAAAAATACCTTCTTTGTCCACTCCGATACTAAAATGCGTTAAGCACATAAAAAATTGTAGAAGGACCTCAAAGCGCCAATTATACACGTATATATACTATTGTAAGGCGGTCGCGGTAGCCGAGTGTTTAGCACTGCGTACTGTCATTAGGTAGGCTCGGGTTGAAGTCCTAGTGTCGTACTATCTTCCAAAAATAAATATAGAAAATTAATTTAAAAAAAAAAATAAAGTTAAATTTTCTAATTGCGGTCGCCCCTCGGCAATCCGAGTGTATTTCGGACATGAATTAAAAGCTGTTCGTAAAAAAAACCATCAGCCGTTCGGACGTGGCGTGGTATAAACGGTGGGTCCCTCCATTTGTTGGAAACACATCAAGACGCAATACCAAAAATTGGAGAAGCAGCTCGGCCGAAAATCGCTTCAGCCAATGATATATATATAAATGCATGTTCATGGACTTGTGCATACGACTTCATAGAAATCCCCGGCGAATAAGCTATTCATATCCTATTCTTCTTATATAATACAAGACAAGAAGACACCTCTTAAGAGCGATAAATTTCATAGCGTTGCTTTTAGTTAACCTGCAGTAATCCATTCCATTAGGCACGGATGAATCACTGTCTCTCATGGACATTAATGACGATTTACCCGCAGACTAGCTAATCCAAACTCGCCTACTTTCGCGTGGCTCCGTTAAAGAAGCCCAGAAAATAATAGCGTTTAAATTTAAAAGAAAAACAATTCGGAATGGTTCTGTTCATGGAATATGTGAGGTGGTCGAGACGACACATATTATTATACCCTCAACCCCAAGTCAGCCTAAGCCACAAAGTAAGGAACACCTTCTTCCCACTATACCAGTCATACACTTAATATTGGTATGTACTTGTGTTTGGAAGTGGCAAAATTCCATTTCCTACTTGTCAAAAACTTTTATTTACTCACTATCAAAACAATAAGTTCAATCACCCTTAAATGCAATTGCAATGTAAACAAAATCACTGACTCCCAACCAACCCTGCTCCGCTAAGTTCTTGTAGCAACGAGAGCGACACAAACATTACAGGCTAATCAATGCGCGCCATCACCAAGAATACCGTCAAAAGTATTAAAAATAACAACTGAGCCCACCCTCTACCAGCCTTTGGCCGCAGTCTAAAATGACTGAATAGCGCCGAAAGCCAATTTCACCTTATACAAAGTGCACTCTTTCTTCCAACCAGATCGCATAAACGGTGTAATAGCCGAAAACCAAAAACATCAATCACTTTGTAACTCCAGTAGCTGACCGTCGAGCGTTGCAGTGCGAGCGGAAATATTTTTCAAACGTTGCTCTATCGCTCAAAAGTCGAAAAGTCAAAAATCAAAACTGAAAATTGGTCTTTTATGGAAAATTAAATGTTAAAAATTTTGATTTTAATGCAAAATTTCGCTTTCGTGTATTCGTTGAAAAATTTCTGTCAAAATTTTGTAAAAGGCGACGATGGCCGAATTGCTATCGCGCGAAAAGGAATTCATTAAACTGAATCAAGAGTTGGACCAGTTAACCGTCACCTCGTTGGATCAACAACTACAACAACAGCAAAAACAAACGCCGCATCATCAACATCCGAATTGCAATAGTGTTAGTGTGGGAAACAGTGGGAATAGCGGGAGTAGTGGCAGTGGTGCCGGTGCCGGTGCTGGTGCCGGTGCCGCTGTCAACAATATTAGCAACCATTTATATGGCGGAGTATCCAAGCAAACGAACAACAGGAGTGAACAACGTTATTTCACCTATACAAAGTCCAAGGGACAAAGTACGTTTCTAAAGAAGCGACTTAATGCTGGTGCTGCAGCAGGTGCTGTTGGCGTCGGTGGCGGTGGTAATGGTGTAAGTAGTGGTAATGGCGCTGGCGATGGTACTACGGATATGCTCTCCGATTTACCCACAGAACGTTCAAACAATACCCACCGTACCGCACGAAAATCCACGCAACAATCGCCTATATCCAACACGCCCAGCTTGCGACCGGACGGCGATAGTGTGCTAATGGCACACTCCGAGACACCAAAGACCACGCGCACAAGCAGCACAATGCACAGAAAGCAAATTAAGAGCCCGGAGAGTGGTACGCGCACACATGGACGTGGCAGTAATTGCAGTTCGAGAGTTAAGGAGGCGGCTTTCACGGTGAAATATCGTAATCCGAAATTTGTACAGAGTCCATCACTTGAGGTGCTGATACGTGATGAGAGCGCGTCGATGCGTGCGAAGGGTAGCGGTGAGATCGATGACGGTTATGCCTCGCGGCGTTCGATTGAGGTTGGCAAGAAGCACATAAGCGCCGATGGTCTGATTAAGTATGAAAGCGTACAAATAACCTAAGTAGCGAGTGCCGAGTATTATATTTACATTTTTCGCATTTTCTTTTTTAGATTTCTGAAATCCAAAATAGCCATACTCGAAGAGGATCATGAACGCATCACACAAGAGATGACACAACAAAAGGAGTTGCTCGAAAAGACTTTGGAACGCAATAAGAAGATCGAACAACAACGTGATCAGGCTTTCGCCAAACATAACGCTATGGCCGATCAATTGAACAAAACCGAGACACAGCTGGAAGAGGTGAGTAGACGTATGAAGGAGCGTGCTATGGAACAGGGCGGTCAACAGAAAGAGCTGGAGACGGCACGTCGTGAATTGAAAATGTTATCACAAACAAATACCAATCTGGAGAAGCGTTTGTATCGTGCCAATGAGGAGTTGGAGAACACGAAAAGTGCGTTGGCTACGCTAAAGAATGCCGAACGGGAGTTGAAGGAGACGATGCGTCTTGATGGCGAAGCGAAGGACAAACAGATCAAAAGCTTGAAGAAGCAACGTGCTGATCTTTTGAATGCGTACAAGAAACAACTCTTTCTCATTGACAATCTCAAGCGCCAGAACATTTGTATGGAGCAATCGAAAATGATTGGTTTCGGTGAAAAGGAGTTCACCAAAGTGCTCGAATGGAATACCAAGTTGTAGATTGAATGTGAAATGCAATGATAAGAATATCATTCCATTTCTTTATGTAGGCATAGCAGATAATCAGCCGAGTTCAACGATAGGCTCCCGACATGTGTGCGAATGTTGCAAAAGATAATTGCCATATAAGTATGTATATATAGTATATGGGTCTGAACCATTATTGTGGTATTTGTGAATAAGTAATACTCATCATAATAAAAATCGCATTGTAAAATATCGGAAATATAAAGTGTTTTTGTAGAATTAAGCCAAGTGGTGGCACTTATGGACTTACTTACTTACTTTACTGGCCTAGACACCGCTTATGCGATTGTAGCCATTCGATTCTGGTTTTTGCTGTTTGGCGCCAATTGGAAATACCAAGTACAGCCAGGTTCTTTCGTTGTTTCCAACGGAGTGGTGGCCTTCCCTTTCTTCGCTCACACCGACGGGTACTGCATCGAAAACTTTCAAAGCTGGAGCTGCTGCTTCTTGATTCGCTGAACTATATCAATGTCGCCGTATAACTCGTACAGCTAATCGTTCCATCGTCAGCGATATTCGCCGTTGCCAATGCGCAAAGAACCATAAATCTTACGCAAGATCTTTCTCTTGAAAACTCCTAACTTCGACTCATCAGATGTTGTCATCGTCCATGCTTCCGCACGATATAGCAGGACCCGAACGACTAGGGATTTGTAGAGTTTCATTTTCGTTCGTCGGGAGAGGACTTTACTATTCAATTGCCTACTCAGTACAAAGTAAATAGCATCTGTTGGCAAGAGTGATTCTGGTTTCTAGAAAGACGAAATTATCTACGACTTTCAAGTTATGAGTATCACCAGTGTTATGGGAGCCGAGTCGCAAATGCGATGGCTGTTTTTTTGATGACAGGAGATATTTCGTTCACTACCAGACCCATATCCTTCGCTTCCTTATAAAGTCTGGATAAAGCAGAACTCACGGCGTGGTTGATGAGGCCAATAACGTCAATATCATCGCCGTACGCTAGTAGTTGTATACTCTTGTAGAATTAAACTGTCAAAATCATCCTACTATAGAAGGTATGCCACCAGTGTTCTAGTATATATTGAGTCTCAAAATGCTGCGAACAGACGTCTAAAGAGTGTTTAACTCCATTTAAACTCCTACTCTCTGTGAACGCTGATCAAGAACTCTGTATAAGAGAACTATGGGGTTTGAAAACAATTCACTTTGGTTAAGATCGAAGGAAAAGCTGGTACGATGACGATTAGTACGCTGCACTGGTAAAAAAAAAGATCTTTTATTTCACCACTTTGGGATCGGTGGCAGCGCTTGTCGTGTGGTAGAGTTACCGTATATCGGAGATGCAAAGGAGACGTATTTTGAAACATGAAATGAGAGCAACCGAATAAGTTAGTATGAGGAACTTAAAAAGTCGGCTCAGTGAAAAAATACTCAATGACAATATGCGGCGTTACCAATAGGTTTTAGAACACAGAATTTTTGAGTAGGAACCAAATAGGTATTTGGTAACATATTTAGAACATGATGAGCTTACGGAGGATACAGTTCTACAGTCTGCTTATAGGCAGCGAAAGGGAAACGTACGGAATGATGAATACTCGACCGATGACAATGGAATCCATCCCATCCCATCACCGTCAATTATAAAGTTCGAACTTCCTTTGCATGCTCGAAGAACATCAAGGCGACTGTAGGTGGTGGGACTTTCAAACACGGTGGTACCGAACGGACAAGCGCTTAAAAGATTGATTGGAAGCTAAGTGTGCCCTACACAATCAACAAAAATATGCACTCCACGGCCTGCGGCTCGCGATTGTTATCTAGGGATGATAAGTTTTTTGAATATTGCACATATGATTTTATTAAGTGTTTTGTGTGCAAGATTGAAGCCCAACGGGAACTAACTAATCGAAATTTATCCGTGTGGCATCAGGCTAGTCCTGAGTTTGGTAAGGCCGAAAATTCGTTGGGATGCATGAAAATATTACGGCTTTAAAAGGAAAGAAAGAGAAATCCCTCTTTTTCCTTGGACCTCTCACTTAATTTTTGACAGCTGCTTTGCTTGCACGTGTTTTGGATAAAAATCGAAGGTTTTAACTATTCAAAAAAATGGATCAAAGAACCTATATCAAATTTTGTGTGAAAAATGAAATTAAGTGCGCGGATTCATTCCGAATGTTTACTGTGGCATACGGAGAAGCTACCTTGGACCGAAGCAAAGTTTATCGGTGGTACAAAATGTTCACAGAAGGCCCGAGAAGATGTGAACGACGAAGAGCGTGCCAGACGCCCGAGTACTTCAGCAACAGACGAAAAAATTAATTGCAGGAGCGTGGTGCATCATAAGTTCTTGCCACAGGGTAGAACGGTCAATAAGGAATATTACCTGCAAGTTATGCGCAATTGGCGCTAAGCAATCCGCCAGAAACGCTCGGATTTGTGGAAGAACAAAAATGGGCTTTTGCACCACGATAACGCCCCTGCTCACACTTCGTTGCTTGTGCGCGACTTTTTGGCCAAAAACAACATACTAAAGATGCCGCAGCCACTGTATTCCCCAGATCTGGCCCCCTGTGACTTTTTCTTATTCCCTAAACTAAGAGGCCCATAAAAGGACGACGTTACGCTACGATTAACGAGATAAAGACGGCATCGAAGGAGCTGAGGAGCTGAACAAGATATCAAAAATTATTTTTTGAAGTGCTTCGAAGATTGGAAAAACCGTTGGCACAAGTGTATAATATCTTACTTTGAAGGGGACAAAATAGACATTCATGAATAAATAAATAATTTTTGAAAAAACACAATATAGAGTGCAAAAATATTTCTTTATGTGGGCTTCATCGCCAGCGATGTGTGTGTGGGTGTTTCACTAATCGCATTTCATTGTCTGTTTGCCAACTTTAACTGTCCAACTGCGTGTTCTTTACACAACCTGACGCGCGACAAATGGGCATGCTAATTTGTCATCAGACACATGTGAGTTTTAGCTAAAATATTCTATAACGCCGAAGAGATATGAAGATAAATCATTAAATGTTACAACTGTGTGGGAGTTGAAGACTAAAATGCGTCATTGATTGTGTAAAAGTGGCAAAAATTATTTTGGGATTTTTTGGGCTTTTTCCTTAAGAAACTTAAAATAAAAATTTGATTTTATCCGAAAAAAAAATTACCATTTCAATTGCGATCATTAAATCAGTTTATAAATTAAATGACCCATTTCGTGGTTTCAAAAGTACAGGGCTGTATTGGGGCAGGTGTCAAACTTAACTGTCAAACCAAACATACTACTGTAAACTGCAAAAAATAAGGTGAATTTGTTTGTAAAATTGAAAAACCCTAATTGATTCTTCTACATCGATTTGGTCGTCTTCAAAATAGTCCCCTACCGATGAAATGCACTTATGCCAACGCTTTTTCCAATTATCGAAGCTTGTCAAATAGTCACGTTCTGGTATGGCCTTAAGAGAGCGCACTGATTCACGTTTAATCTCCTCAATCTACTCAAAACGGTGTTCTCGAAGTGGTCTCTTGAGTTTTTGAAAGTGCCAGAAGTCACATGGTACTAAGTCCAGCGAATACGGTGGTTGCGGAGCGATTTTCGCGAATTTTTGCCGAAATGGTCACGAAGAATGAGTGCTGTGTGCATTATCTTGTTGTCACATGCCCCACAACACTAGCAAATATTTCTTGTGGAAGCAGAGGAAACAGAGGAAAGGGATGACCTCTACTCCTTTGGAAAGACCGGGTGGAGAGCAACCTGGTCTTACTTGGCGTCAAACAGCGATAATAAGGAACTAAACAGGCGCTGTTGTTGTCCTCAAAATATTCAATTTGTATACTCAGACTGTTTACACTTAACAGTGACTGTAAAATCTATGTTAAAACATTTTTCTGCTTTTTGAAATTTACAGTATAGTCATAATAATCTTAATAATAATATATTTGTTGATTAAATGAAAATCAGGTTATTTACTTTTCTTTTATGTTTAAAGCAGCTTTTTTGTATTGTAAGATTTTGAACTGAAAAAAGTCAGAGTCGTTTAATTCTTGTGAACTGAATTGTAAAGCCGCTTTTTTACACAGATTCCGCGCGATTAATTAGACACTTGTGTGGGTTTGAACAATCAAAAAAGTTTGGCTTTTACTTAGAATTTTTAATGGTTTAATGAATTTGTTGTTAAATTTGCTATTCATATGAGAAACACGTTAATTACATAAGAGCTATTTATGGCATTTATATATGTATATGAGTGAGAGATTTATTGAAATTTGAATTCCCATATCTTAGGCCAATGGAGTAACTAACTATTGAGGCACTCAGAACTTATACTTTTCATAACGAAGCTACACATATACGACAACATCATTTACTGTAAACAAATTACAGCTGGCAAGAAAGGACCCGTAACAGTCAAACGTCAGCTGGCAGTGTTGACATATACAAGGACGGATGGAAACTTGAGAGAAATGTTCGAAGCTCTGTCTTCTCTCAAAACACCTCTCTGGAGCGCTTATTCGGGCTACCAAATCACTACAGGGTTTTTTCAGGAGAAGGTCTTTGCTATCATGCAGGCAGCAATAAATACGCCCAATTTTGCAGAATATTACTTCGTGGTCATAGCGATATTGAGAAAAACTGTAGAGCAGAAAGCCTTCCGGTTCAAATACTGGCCGAGCAATTTCTTTTATATGAAATATGCTCCTCAAGAAATTTCCTTGAGAACATACCACGATAAGACATCAGAAAACGACGTTGAAAATTTGAAATATTATGACGAAATTGACATTTTGTAACCGTTCGGGCGTTTTCTTATTTTACATATACATAGGGAGAGTTTGACACTCCTTAACGATGGGCAAATGCATTAAGAAAAAACCAAATGAGCGCTTTCAGAGAGCAGAAGTGAAAGTTTAGCAGAAATCTGTTTGGCAGTCTCTTGTGATTGCTGGTTTTCGACGTCAAACCATCATTTTGTTTGTTGACGGGCGTTCTGTGCTGCACAGAGGTGTATGCGCATCTTGGCTGGATTCATGTCTTAAGCCTATCACAACATGGTCGATTTGGTTTCTAGTTTTTCTATCCGGTGACAGCCGAATTTGGTATTAAAGATGATCCATATATCGAGCACGGGCGAAGCTATTCGGTCTCAGCCCGTTTGTGGATGATTTGGTACGGATGCTGAATTTTCAACGGTTGAAATCGGCAAGCATGATTTTGGTACCGTAATG